GTCCTGTCCCATCCCACCACATCCTATCCCATCCCATCTAAGCCTGTCCTATCCCACCCCACTGCATCCCATCCCATCCTGTCCTGTCCCATCCCACTGTCTCATTCCATCCCACCCCACCGCATCCCATCCTCTCCCATCCCATCTCATCCCATCCCACCACATCCCATCCTGTCCTGTCCCATCCCACCACATCCTATCCCATCCCATCTAAGCCTGTCCTATCCCACCCCACTGCATCCCATCCCATCCTGTCCTGTCCCATCCCACTGTCTCATTCCATCCCACCCCACCGCATCCCATCCTCTCCCATCCCATCTCATCCCATCCCACCACATCCCATCCTGTCCTGTCCCATCCCACCACATCCCATCCCACCCTACCCCATCCCATTTAAGCCTGTCCCATCCCACTGCATCCCATCCTGTCCTGTCCCCTCCCATCCCATCTAAGCCTGTTCCATCCCATCCTACCGCATCCCATTCTGTCCTGTGCCATCCCATCCCATCCCTTCTCATCCCATCCCATCCCATCCCATCCAAGCCTGTCCTATCCTACCCCACTGCATCCCATCCCATCCTGTCCCATCCCACCACATCCCATCCGACCCTACCCCATCCCATCTAAGCCTGTCCCATCTCATTCTACCGCATCCCATTCTGTCCTGTCCCCTCCCATCCCATCTAAGCCTGTCCCATCCCATCCTACTGCATCCCATTCTGTCCTGTGCCATCCCATCCCTTCTCGTCCCATCCCACCCTACCCCATCCCATCTAAGCCTGTCCCATCCCACCGCATCCCATCCTGTCCTGTCCCATCCCATCCTACCACATCCCATTCTGTCCTGTGCCATCCCATCCCTTCTCATCTCATCCCATCCCACCCCACCCCATCCCGTTCCCCGCAGCTGGGTGCTGTGTGAACACGGTGACTTCCGCGGGCGCCAGTGGCTGCTGGACTGCACCGAGATCACCAACTGGCTGACGTACAGCGGGCTCCAGCACGTGGGGTCCCTCTACCCCATCCGCCAGGTGAGAGCTGGGATGGGAGGGGGGGGGGAATGAACCCCAAAACCCCGAGGCAGGCAGCTCACATGGAGCTGAAGTCCCAATGAGCAGGAGGAGGATGTGGTGGTGGCTCCGGGTGAGCTGGGGGTAAGCAGGACATGGCCTGGAGCAGCAGAACGTTCTGGCAGCTCTGGCCCATTAAAGCCACACCAGCCCAACACCGGCCCCCCCAGGTCCATGTCCCCCACCCTGGGAGTGGCTGCTTTGGTGGCAAAAAGCTCCCCATGGGCAAGGACAAGGTGGAAAACACCCAAACATCCCAACAGGATGGGGAGGACCCTCAGGCAGTCACCCCAGGGGACCAGTGTCCCCATTTCCCAAAGCCACACGTGGGGTGAGGTCCCTCCTGGGCCACCTGCAGCGCGTGGGGCCGGAGGTGCAGGCAGCAGGGCTTTTTGGTGCAAAAAAACCCCAAAACCCCAAAGGTTTCTCTCTTTCCAGAGACGGATCTATTTCCGCATCAGGAGCCGGGAGCTGGAGCTCTACCTCTGCGTCCCCGACGACGTGGAGGACATGAAAGCAGGACGGGTGGTGGTCTCCAGCTTGAGCGAGCAGAGCAGCTCCGTCTGGTACTACGAGGAGGGGCTGATCAAAAACCAGGTCAGGACTTTGCATGTGACAGCCAGCGCCGGGGAGGGGACAGGGGAACCCCCCCCAAGACTCCTGCTGGGGTACTCCCCACCCCACAGCGATCTCCTAGGGCTTGTCACAACCTATCCCAACATGTGACCTCAGCCTTGGCCCCAAAAATCGGTTGATTCCCTCCTCCCCGAGTCTCCCCTGGACACATGAAGGCATCTGTCTTCTCCGAGGAGTTTCTGTCACTCAAATTGTCCCCACCTCTCAACGAGGGGTTTTCCTGCTCATCCCACGTCCCACCTCCAGAACCAACCACCTTTACAGGGAAACCCCCTCTGAGCTCCAAGCCTTTGTGCTGTGTGGAGGTGATGGAGAGGAGCAGACACCGGCCCCCCCAGGTCCATGTCCCCCACCCTGGGAGTGGCTGCTTTGGTGGCAAAAAGCTCCCCATGGGCAAGGACAAGGTGGAAAACACCCAAACATCCCAACAGGATGGGGAGGACCCTCAGGCAGTCACCCCAGGGGACCAGTGTCCCCATTTCCCAAAGCCACACGTGGGGTGAGGTCCCTCCTGGGCCACCTGCAGCGCGTGGGGCCGGAGGTGCAGGCAGCAGGGCTTTTTGGTGCAAAAAAACCCCAAAACCCCAAAGGTTTCTCTCTTTCCAGAGACGGATCTATTTCCGCATCAGGAGCCGGGAGCTGGAGCTCTACCTCTGCGTCCCCGACGACGTGGAGGACATGAAAGCAGGACGGGTGGTGGTCTCCAGCTTGAGCGAGCAGAGCAGCTCCGTCTGGTACTACGAGGAGGGGCTGATCAAAAACCAGGTCAGGACTTTGCATGTGACAGCCAGCGCCGGGGAGGGGACAGGGGAACCCCCCCCAAGACTCCTGCTGGGGTACTCCCCACCCCACAGCGATCTCCTAGGGCTTGTCACAACCTATCCCAACATGTGACCTCAGCCTTGGCCCCAAAAACCGGTTGATTCCCTCCTCCCCGAGTCTCCCCTGGACACATGAAGGCATCTGTCTTCTCCGAGGAGTTTCTGTCACTCAAATTGTCCCCACCTCTCACCGAGGTGGGGACACCCACCGAGGTTTTCCTGCTCATCCCACGTCCCACCCCCAGAACCAGCCACCTTTACAGGGAAACCCCCTCCGAGCTCCAAGCCTCTGTGCTGTGTGGAGGTGATGGAGAGGAGCGGGCTGACCTGGCCACCACCACTCCTCGCAGGTGGCCCCCAACATGAGCCTGCAGGTCATCGGGCCGGCCAGGAAGGGTGGGGACCGAGGAACCCCCCCCCAAGACTCCTGCTGGGGTACTCCCCACCCCACAGCGATCTCCTAGGGCTTGTGGCAACCTTTCCCAACATCTGACCTCAGCCTTGTCCCCAAAAATTGGTTGATTCTCTCCTCCCCGAGTCTCCCCTGGAGACATGAAGGCATCTGTCTTCCCCGAGGAGTTTCTGTGACTCAAATTGTCCCCACCTCTCAACGAGGGGTTTTCCTGCTCATCCCAAGTCCCACCTCCAGAACCAGCCACCTTTACAGGGAAACCCCCTTTATGTTCCAAGCCTTTGTGCTCCGTGGAGGTGATGGAGAGGAGCGGGCTGACCTGGCCACCACCACTCCTTGCAGGTGGCCCCCAACATGAGCCTGCAGGTCATCAGGCTGGCCGGGAAGGGCGGGGACCGAGGAACCCCCCCCAAGACTCCTGCTGGGGTACTCCCCACCCCACAGCGATCTCCTAGGGCTTGTGGCAACCTTTCCCAACATCTGACCTCAGCCTTGTCCCCAAAAATTGGTTGATTCTCTCCTCCCCGAGTCTCCCCTGGAGACATGAAGGCATCTGTCTTCCCCGAGGAGTTTCTGTGACTCAAATTGTCCCCACCTCTCAACGAGGGGTTTTCCTGCTCATCCCAAGTCCCACCTCCAGAACCAGCCACCTTTACAGGGAAACCCCCTCCGAGCTCCAAGCCTCTGTGCTGTGTGGAGGTGATGGAGAGGAGCGGGCTGACCTGGCCACCACCACTCCTTGCAGGTGGCCCCCAACATGAGCCTGCAGGTCATCGGGCCGGCCAGGAAGGGTGGGGACCGAGGAACCCCCCCCCAAGACTCCTGCTGGGGTACTCCCCACCCCACAGCGATCTCCTAGGGCTTGTCACAACCTATCCCAACATGTGACCTCAGCCTTGGCCCCAAAAATCGGTTGATTCCCTCCTCCCCGAGTCTCCCCTGGACACATGAAGGCATCTGTCTTCTCCGAGGAGTTTCTGTCACTCAAATTGTCCCCACCTCTCACCGAGGTGGGGACACCCACCGGGGTTTTCCTGCTCATCCCAAGTCCCACCTCCAGAACCAGCCACCTTTACAGGGAAACCCCCTTTATGTTCCAAGCCTTTGTGCTCCGTGGAGGTGATGGAGAGGAGCGGGCTGACCTGGCCACCACCACTCCTTGCAGGTGGCCCCCAACATGAGCCTGCAGGTCATCAGGCTGGCCGGGAAGGGCGGGGACCGAGGAACCCCCCCCAAGACTCCTGCTGGGGTACTCCCCACCCCACAGCGATCTCCTAGGGCTTGTGACAACCTTTCCCAGCATCTGACCTCAGCCTTGGCCCCAAAAATCGGTTGATTCTCTCCTCCCCGAGTCTCCCCTGGAGACATGAAGGCATCTGTCTTCTCCGAGGAGTTTCTGTCACTCAAATTGTCCCCACCTCTCAACGAGGGGTTTTCCTGCTCATCCCACGTCCCACCTCCAGAACCAACCACCTTTACAGGGAAACCCCCTCTGAGCTCCAAGCCTTTGTGCTGTGTGGAGGTGATGGAGAGGAGCAGGCTGACCTGGCCACCACCACTCCTTGCAGGTGGTTGATTCTCTCCTCCCCGAGTCTCCCCTGGAGACATGAAGGCATCTGTCTTCCCCGAGGAGTTTCTGTGACTCAAATTGTCCCCACCTCTCAACGAGGGGTTTTCCTGCTCATCCCACGTCCCACCTCCAGAACCAACCACCTTTACAGGGAAACCCCCTCTGAGCTCCAAGCCTTTGTGCTGTGTGGAGGTGATGGAGAGGAGCAGGCTGACCTGGCCACCACCACTCCTTGCAGGTGGCCCCCAACATGAGCCTGCAGGTCATCGGGCCGGCCGGGAAGGGCGCGAAGGCCGTGCTGTGGTCCGAGACTCGGATGCCCCGTCAGACCTGGAGCATCGATTCTCAGGGACGGATCCACAGCCAGATGTTTGAGGACATGATCCTCGATATAAAGGGTGAGGTCTCAGCGCTGGCACGGGGGCTGCTTTCCCCGGGACCCCCAAAAAAATGGGGTGCTTGGCCGTGAGGTGGGGCACCCGCCCCTTCACTGCCATCAGGAGCAGGGTTTGTCCTCCTGAAACCCTCCGCTTGCTCCACAGGTGGTCGATCCTACGACCGGGACCACGCCATCGTTTGGGACATGGCTGAGGAAAGACCCACGCAGATCTGGGACATTCAGGTGCTATGAGGGGGTGGCGAGTGGCCCTTGTGCCCAGAAGTGCCACTGGGCAGGATGGGGACACCCTACCAGTGTCCTCACACCAGGGCAGGAGGCCTCCTACCCCAAACACCCCTTGCTCCGGCCGCTGGCGTGAAGGATGCCCACCATCCCCTCCATCATGAGGGGGAACCACCCCATCTCCCTCCCGGCGAGCTCCATACGTGGCTCATGAAGGACCCCACAACCGACGTGGAACCCTCCAGAGAGTGGAGAACCTCCCTCCCCACCAGCTCCCCCCTTCCCCACCGAACTGTATTTATGTACGTGTGTAAGATATAGCCCTCCTCATCTGGGCCACCTCTGCCTGGCTGGTTGGTGTCCTTGTCCTTGTATTGGTCGCAGCCCCCATGCTGGGGAGATGCCCCCCACCCCAAGGGCCCAATCCTGCTCCAAGGATGGGGGCCCGGTGCCCTCTAGTGTCCATGGGCCACCAGCAGCACCAGGGCTGTGGGTTTTGAGAAGGGGGGGTGCGGGCCAAGCTGTGCCCCCCAACCCCGGAGCATCAGGAGATGCTGGATCCCACCAGCTCCAGCTCCTGCTGAAGATTCCGGTGCCCCCCACCCCAAGGGCCCAATCCTGCTCCAAGGATGGGGGCCCGGTGCCCTCTAGTGTCCATGGGCCACCAGCAGCACCAGGGCTGTGGGTTTTGAGAAGGGGGGGTGCGGGCCAAGCTGTGCCCCCCAACCCCGGAGCATCAGGAGATGCTGGATCCCACCAGCTCCAGCTCCTGCTGAAGATTCCGGGGTTTTCCAACCCCTTGGGACTGTTTAGTATGAGGAAGAGGAGGCTGAGGGGAGACCTCATCACTCTCTACAACTACGTGAAAGGACACTGTAGAGAGGTTGGTGCTGGTCTCTTCTCACAGGTAATTAGTGACAGAACGAGAGGGAACGGCTTCAAGCTCCAACAGGGTGGGTTTAGATTGAACATTAGGAAAGAATTTTTCACCCAAAGAGTGGTCGGGCATTGGAACAGGCTGCCCAGGGAGGGGGTGGAGTCCCCATCCCTGGCTGTGTTTAAGGGCCGTTTAGATGCAGTGCTGAGGGACATGGTGTAGGGGAGGGCTTTGTAGAGTAGGGGAGATGGTTGGACTCGATGATCCCAAGGGTCTCTTCCAACCTAGACCATTCTATGATTCTATGATTCATATCAGTGAGCTCTGCTCCGGCAGCAGTTCGTGTCCTGCTGCAGAGCTGCGTGGTGGCACATGTCACTTGGCCTTGAGATCCCGGGAACTGAGGTCTTCTCCCCAGGACAGAGGTTGTCTCCACCAGGGTGAGCTCCCCAGGGACGTGACTCAGAGCCAGGAGGGACACGGGGTGAGAGATGCAGACATGGAGACCTCAAGTGCTTCTGTCCTCGCTGCTGGGGCTGAGAGGAGACGGCTGCTGGCGAGGGCCCGGTTTGCCGAGCAGGTTGAACCCAGTTTGGGGAAGAGTCACTGAACTGGGGCAACAATCACTTCTCAACCCCGCAGCCAAAACTGGGCTGTTCTGGTGGTGACAAGACACCCCAGTGCCTCCCCAGGAGGTCTCCTTGGAGCGCACCGAGATTCTTACATCAGGTATCTCCAGCTGCTTGGCGACTGCTCTTGGTTTTCAGCAACAGCCGTCATCAAACATCTACCTTTAAGCTGAAACGTTGTCCCCAGCTGCCCCAAGACCTGTTTGGGCAGGAGGTTTAACCACAGGAGCGAGGAACGTGCTGCACGAGGAGGCCCAGCTCCCATGTGGTCTCCTGCCAGGCCAGCGGGCAAGCCAAAGCCCAAACCCCTGCCTGCAGGCAGCGGTGACAACCAGGGCTGCTCGGAGAAGGCACTGCCAAGCCTGCAGAGCCAGCAAGGAGAAGGATATTGAGTCCCAAGGTGAGAACAACGCTGATGGGAAGGCAGAGAAGACCACCACAAGGGCCCAGGAGACACCCAGGGAGGATGCTACCGACCCTGTACGACGGCTGAACAAGTGGAAGCCACAGGGGGCCATCGAAACACACAATCTCAGCCTACCCGGGGAGGTAGAGACCCTTCCGGGAGGATAAAAATCCTCTCAACGCGACGCCGAGAAGCCTCCTTCCCTCCTCTCAGGCACGGCCAGACAGGAAGCACCTCACCCCCTCACCCGCTTTTATATACCCTCGGCCGGGCGGGGATTGGCTAAGAGCAGGGCGTTTGGCGGCAGCGGATTGGTCAGCGCTCAGCGAGCGGAGGGGGGCGCTGTTGCTATGGGCCCCGGGCCCGGGGCCTCCGGTGCCCCCGAAGAGGCCTCACAAGGTGGGGAAGAACAGGGGCTCAGCCCCCCCCTTTACCCAACGTGAGAGGAAACTAGGCGGCCTTCTACACCAGCGCTTTATTTCTCAGGGCCTCGCAGCAGGCCCTCAAGCGGGGCCTTGCTGAGAGGCCGGAGGGAGGGGGAAGCAGGCAGGGGAGCGATGGTGGGCCTCCCATGGTGGTCCTCCGTGCTGCGAGGGTCCGAGGAGGAGGCGGCGAGGACAACCGGCTCAGCAAAGGCGTAGGATGAAGGCAGTGACCAGCCCCAAGGCCAGGGGCAGGAGGGCCGGGCTGGCCATGGCGGGGCTCAGGCTCTTTTGCTGGGGGGGGGTGGGGGGTGTGGTCGTGGTGCTCACAGCTGCCTCCCCGGCCTGGCCAAAGGGCTGGAAAAGGAAATAATGAGAGTCAGGGTGGAAGTACTCCCCTCTAAAAGCCCTCTCCTCTCCTAGAGTCCTCTCTAGGTCCCGAGAGGTGATGGTCCCCCTGTGCTTGGCACTGGTGAGGCCCCACCTCGAGGGCTGTGTCCAGTTTTGGGCC